TCAAAGAATTTTTGAAACTCCGATGACTTAAAGTGTGTAATTTTCTGCGCACTTGCTATTTACTGTTAGTGTCTTATTTTCTTTATTTCCTATGGGATAGAGTCCCAGGCTTTAGTGGGCAGAGTGTTGCTATATTTTATTTGTTCTGCCATTACTTCTTTGGTTTTCCTTGGTGTTCCTCTGGACTAATAATTCCAGAATTTGCTTCACAAACCCATTGTCACACCATTGCACCCTTTTTGTTTTCTTTGAGAGTCTTCAAGATTCTTTGCTTTCTCTTAGGGCATTTCCTCTTCTCCGAACACCCTTTGTCTGGACACCTGTGTGCTCCAAACTTTTAGGGACCTTGCACCTTGGTTTAGTGAAGCCCACACGTTCCCCGAGGTCTGGCCAAGTCTCCCTGCAGCCACATTTCCTACGGTTCTCTGATGACCGCCCACCTCAGTCACATCCCTGAAGCCACATAAGCAGCCTCTGTGTCTCACACCGGCCTGTCCCCATGTCCCACTGCAGCATCCCCGACGTAGGTCTCTCCCTAGACCCCGGGTGTCGCCAAACCTGCTAGCACCAAGTTGAGTGATGAACCAAGGCGTCGAGATAAAATGGCAAATCACGTTCAGCCTTTGAGATGTCGTATTTTCTTACGGCTCTTGACACAGAATCAGAAAACGATAGCAACAGCCACACGTGCTCACTGGAATGGTGTCAGCCCAAACGGACAACCGTTTTAAAATTGAGGACAGGTGTAAAGGTCACGATTTAAGAGGAAAAAAAGTAATGACGTGGTAATCTGCATGAAAGTCTTTGAAGAATATAAAGGCATACAAATATAAATGAAGTAGTGATGTGCATAGTATGGAACTGTATGATACAAAACACTGTACTGAAGTAGATTTTTTTAAAAACAATCAACATACCAAGCTTGTATATTCTACAAGCAATTTCATACTCTTGGAGAAAAATGCACATGAAAGACTCCTTAAGCACCGCACCACGTTAGAAGAACGAAATTGCATCCTTGTACATGTAAACGTATCGGTCATGTTTGCTGAGGTTCAGTTGTACATGAAATAAATGAGTTACTGCTGAACGTTCACTTGGAGATTTTGCCGTGTCTCAGCCCGAGAGACAGTGGCTCTGACAACACCAGTGGGATTTTATTGTGAAGGGGGGAGCAGGTACCTCTCACTTGCAGGAGGTCCGTTTCTGCAAGTTAAAGGAACAAATCGTCTGTGTACAAAGGGTTACGAGTTACGACGGGCCAAGCGATTGCCCACACCTATTATTTCTATATAGTGCACTTAATTAGCACCACTTACTATATGTCTGCCTTAAAGCGAAATCCCAGGATCCAAATCCTAATAAAAAGAGATGTAAAATTACGTCTTTAGATTTAATAGTTTTTTTTTCCTTCCCACGTCTCCAAAGGCCAGAGTCTTCTCTCTAGTTCTCCCTTTTTGCTGTATTATGAGAAATAAGTATATGGTTGGTGTCTTAAATGCTAATGTGAAAGCAAATACCATCTCCAGTTCACTGGTGACCTGTCCCAAACAAAAGTCCTCAAAAGGATACACCCTGATAGAGCAAACCCATACTATCTTAGTTTCATTGTTTTTCATAATTAATAATATTGTGAGTTATTCACTAAGATGTGTATTCATCACTAGTTAGGATACAAAGGGACACAACTCCATTCCTAAGTGTGTAGAGTTTATATCAACTCAATAACTGATCTGTACTAGTTTTGTGACCTTGGGAAAAGCCCTTGGTTTTTCAGCTATTCTGTTTCAGTGTCCTCACCTGTGAAATGTGGTTCATTGACCTATTTGATAAGGTTACTGAGAAGTAACAGGGTCCCCTGCATGTAAAGAACTTAGAAAAGCATCTGACACACAATTACCAGAATTTACCTATCAGCCTTGTCATGATAGATTGTCACTTTTGAAAAATGACACCTCTGGCTGGTTCTGGAAGATTCTCCTCGTGACAAATGTGTGAAGGAGAAGAAAAGAATAGAAACGCAGTGGCGTGAAGACCAAAGAAAGAGATCCCAACCACGGTGAAAACGAGAGAACAAAACCCATTCTCCACAAATGCCGAACCACAGATACAGACGGAGGACGAACGTGAACATGGCTGAGCCCCCGCCTTTGGGAGGGGGTAGTGCTTTCCTCAGGGGTGGGCTCATGGATGAAACCCATCAGAGTTGATTCTCCTTGGCTCTGCTTTCCTCACGGAGTGCCCCCTGAAGACACCTTCGGACTTCTCATACGTGTTTTCATAGCTCCCGAGAGAGGCAAAGTTCGCATTCCACACTTGGGTTCAAGATGCGTAGACTTACCACTGTGTTCAATTAATTACCCCTTATGCGTTCCAACCCTCCCTCCATCCTCCTGACCTCATTCAGTCAAGAAAGAAGACCACAGCCTCTCCTGATGACCAGATGGTGACCAGAGGGAGGGCCAGGACCCTCATTATCCCTTTTACCTCCAGCCCACCTCGAGGGAGGTTTGACTCAAGAGTGCCTGTACTTTACTGTGACTTGTAATGCACACAGTCAATAATAGACTTGACATGTTTAGATGTACGGTAAACCCACATACACACAGCCAGTTATTATAGCCATATAAATCCTTCTTCCAATGTTTTCCTCGACTAAAAATAACCTATTTGCTACAGTATCAGTATTTTTTACATCTTCCATTGCAAGACTTCTTTTCAAACTCATAAGGTAATGGATAAAAGGACTTAAATTTCATTTTTGAATGGTTCACTTTATTGATCACTGTCAAATTCAATTTTAAATAAAAACCCCTAATATTTGTGACTAGGTTTTCGAGTCCAGTTATCAGAATTCAGTTGAGTTTTTTTAAATATTTTTTTTCCACCCTGATATCTTTAACAAGTTTGAACCCCCCACTCCTCTATCCATAGAGCAGCCAAAGGCGATATTCTACCTTGCTGTTTTGATATTCTTTCCATTTATCCTGGTTTTTATGTTTTAAAATGTCCTATTTCTCTAGGAGAGAAAAAAAAAAAAAGGCAGAAAACATATAAGAATGTCCATGAGGTATCATCATTTCCCAAGGGGATTACTTACCTAAAATGTTTGTTGCATTTAATGTATAAATTGATTGATGTATGTCTTCAATCTGAGATGGCCTAAGAATCAGTAGATTGCTAACACGGAAAGACTGTTCAAAAGGCAGACATGCAGCTTGAGAGACACATCACTTGCCTGTCTCCCCATATAGTTTTCTAGTCTTTAGAAAATATTTTAAAAGATGATTATAATTAAAAACCATGATTACATATAAATATGATAATATAAATATATATCTGTGGTTTTAAAATAATATTATGAAGCTCCATTACCGTTTTGGTGGCTCACCCCACTCCTTGTGTTTATTTCTCAAAACATTCCCCCCTGATCCTGAGCAAAGCCTGCCTTTAAGTCTTCACTTAAGAGTCCATGAGGGTTATGGGGTACCTGGGGGGCTCAGTCGGTTAAGCTTCTGACTTCAGCTCAGGTCATGATCTCATGGTTCATGGGTTTGAGCCCCGTGTGGGGCTCTGTGCTGACAGCTCAGAGCCTGGAGCCTGCTTTGGATTCTGTCTCTCCCTTTCTGCCCGCCCACCTTCTCTCTCTCTCTCTCTCTCTCTCTCTCTCTCTCTCTCTCTCAAATAAAGAAACCTTAAATTAAAAAAAAAAAAAAAAAGACTACATAAGGGTTAGGTGAGCCCACGTTCTTGTGTGTGGATGTTCTCCCAGCCCTTCTACATGGGGACATTATGAGATCCAAGTGCACAAATCATTACGAGCTGATCTTAATTAAATCTGTAGCACTTTTCTGGCAAAGAGGCTCGGGACCACGGCTACAAGTGTAGGTGATGTTCTTAATTGTGAGAGGAAGGTCACAATTAATGAAAATGGGCATGCACAACATGTCCGCCAAAGTTACAGAACATGGCACAACACTGCACACTGTGAGTCCCTCTCCCTCATCCTCACCCCCACTAAAATGGTGCATTTCCCTGGTTGTCACTTTCCAACTCGACCATTGTTCTTCAGACTCATACTTATTTTGTTGAGTTTTTAAAAATCACTGCACTTGCCACACAGTGTGGCCAATAAATTATTTGGTGCAGAATCCGGTGGGGCTCTCTTGTCACACACACACACACACACACACACACACACACACACACACACATGGCACCTCTATTGTTTTGTGGTGATTTGGGACTTACAGGGTTTTAAAGCTGTGGTCTTTCGGCTAACCATTTGTTTTTAAGGTGAGCTGATAGGTTAAGTGACTCTGTCTGAGTTGACATAATGTGAAGATCAAATTTATTTTTATTTTTTACCCTGATTAAATACTCTTTTATGCAAATTTGGATCTAGAAGTGAATTACCTCTGCTTTCTTCAGGAGAAGGGCAGAAGAAAATAACATTGACCTCCACTGAATGTTCTTTTGTCCTGAGATGGAACACAGACAGGCTCGGTGCTGTGACACTGGTGGGCTGCTGAGTGGTTTTATTTATCTTTAGATCCCCTTTAAATGTGTTCGGGTCGATGCCACAAAATATCAATGTAAGTACCACAGAGCTGTCACAGTGGCATTGGCAGGGACGTTTCGTGAAGTAGAAATGAGGCCTGAGGAGGGATATGACTGCTCTGTGACACAGCCGGTGTGCTTGGGTGTAGCGATTTTGTTTGAGATCTCTTTATGCTTCTGTGGAGTAAGAGGTACTCTGAAAACAGACAAGAAATCTTGAAAATGAATGAATAGAGAATATTTCCTGTCCAGCTGGTAAACAGTAAAAAAAAAAAACAAAAAAAAAAACAAAAAAAACCCACCAATCTACAAAACCAATATGTTAATTAGAAACATACATTGAGAGAGGAGAGGGCCGTCATGATTGTAGAATTTTTATGTGTTAAAATCAGTAATTCCACTTTTCAATTCTTTCTTTTTTAATGTCCTATTTATTTTAGCTGAATGCGGAGCAAGTGTCAAAGGAAATGAAGGAACATTGTTGTCCCCAAATTTCCCATCAAATTACGATAATAACCACGAGTGTATCTATAAGATAGAAACAGAAGCTGGCAAGGGGATCCATCTCAGAGCACGGACCTTCCAGCTGTTTGAAGGAGACATTCTGAAGGTAAGAAGAATCTTCTGTTATGTGACTCCGTCTCTTCTCAAGGAGCAAATTAAGTATCTGTCCATCCACACACACACACACACACACACACACACACACACATATTTAGATGGACATATTTTTTCCAACTTAACTTGGCCAATTGGTTTGAGAAGGGGGAATGTAGCCATGTTCCTCAGTGGCGTGAGTGTAGACTGTGATCTATCTTAGTCTGCAGTCTTGGATCTAACATCCGTTGTGTGTCTTGGGCAGATTATTCAGCATTTTTGAGGTTTAGCTTCCTTATGTGTGAAAACACATGATGATGCCCATCTTCGAGAGATGTTTTGAGATTTAAATAATACACTGTCGGTGGATGTGTCCAGGATTGCGCTGAGCACGCGTGATTATTAAAGCTAGTGGGCCCCCAAAGCCACGCTTTGAATAGTCATTCTCAATGACTAGATGTGGTCCCAACATTCAGAGTGAGAAAGATTTTGATGTGCTAGTGGAAGCAAGCCCAGCCGCTATCACCAGACCATAGAGCAGAGCTCATGTGGAGAGGCCATGCCAGACCAGACAGAATTTCAGTGGGCGAGTCTGAGCTGTGTTCATGGGACTCAGGGACATTCTTGCAATAGGACAAGGAACTAGGGTTCTGTGCATCAGACAATACAGAGCACCAGAGCCTTGGGGAAATGCTCTGGGGTGCGGGACCCAGCACACCACCACCCTGTAGGTGGACTCCAGGAAAAACAAAAAACAAAAAAAACCCCAGCAGAAATGGATTCCAGGAAAAGTCAAGGCCTGCACTGGTCTATGAGACCCAGCTCTAGCTGGAAATGCCCCCATAATCCCTAATGTTTCCACTGCAATTCCCACCTCTCCTGTAACTCTTCGAGGATCTAGGGGCCAGGGAGGGACATCTGGAGAGCGAGGGCATGCAAAGAGGGGGATCAGACTAATGGCCGACACCACCCAACCTGCCTCCCTGCTCGGTCCAGTGAGGAGTGAGCACCCGGTCCAGGGGACACAGCTCATTTGTGGCAGGAGGGAGACATCTCTCTTCTCATTCCTTGTGAAGTTCCAGGGTTTTCCAGTGACATTTACATCTACATGGACTCACACATTGACGCATCTCACATTCAGGAGAGTCCACACGCCCTGAGCTGCCAACACCGGGAAAAGATGCAAAGAGCCAGTCGAGAGGGAACCATCACTGACTTCCCGGTTGTCATCCATTTGCACAAGGTTAAAGAGGGGTCCCTCCAGGATCCCCACCCTGACCTCATTAGCTGTTATGTTCACACTTCAGAGGCACTGAAAGCCTAAAGTGCCTTACTCCCTCCTAAGTCCGGCCTTGACTATTTCAATGTCATTGTTGAGAAGACCAGGTTTATTGTCATTGTTCTTCTGTTGTAATAGTCTTTCAAAACCTCATGCTGACATCATGAAGCTCTGTCATTAAGAAGTGATTTTCAGGCAGGAAACTAATATGTTCTCACCGATGTAAAAAAAAAAAAAAATTAAGGTTGCGTCGTAAGGAACCATTTTCTGAATTCTCTGATAACCTCAAATTTAGAAGTCACTAAGCCTTCAGAGAAAACTTGTAGGTAACAACTAACCATGCTTGGTGTAGGTGAGTGATTAGAGATACCACATAAAATGTACACTAATAAATATTGCTACGGAAGAAGTGAATAATGTTCATTTGTGATTGTACGTAGTTTAAAGTTGTTGATTATAACAAAAAGCAAATAAAAAATCATGCTTACCTCACTTAATTGCAGAGAAACTGTCAGTCATCTGAAATGCCTGAATGTTTTGCAAGCATGTCTTTTTTATCGGCTATGCTAATACATATCTCCTTGTCCAAAACTTTTCAAGTGGGATTCTCTTATTTTTAGCTTTAAATGCTATTCACGTCATTCCTTCGTACAGAGTAGGATCCAGTGAGAAAGACCAAAGTTTTGTGCATGGATTTCCATGTATAAAAACATGTTTTCTCACATCAAATGGGAAAAATAAAACCTGTAAGAGAAATAGAGCTTGAAAGAGATGTCATGAAAGGAATATATATGGAACGCAGAGTTAATTTTGGAAACGGACCTTTGGGTATAGCTCTGTAAAACTGGGAAACACCCCCTCCCCTCAGCACCCCCCACCCTGCCACTCAGGATGCTGCGTGACGTCTCCTAACCGGCGGCCACCTGCTCACTCGGCCATCCCGCTCTGGGCGGAGGGCATGGGTTAAATTCAAAATCAGAGGACCATTTGTGCTGCACAGAGTTCAGCCTTGCAGTAACAGGACTCGGGGAGCCTTTCTCCAGTACCAAAAAGGAACACCTGGATCCTGGCAGCAGCTAGACGAGGGCGTGTGACCAAGAGGTGTTATGCTGAACTGCTGTGGCTTGTTCCGAATTTCAGTGGAATTAAAAATCAAGTCTTCTGACTTCTGATACCATCTGGGTAGTCGTTTGTGGTCCACAGAAAACTTGAATCCAGATTTGTAACTTGAGGGAGCCGACAGGATGATGCTCCGCGTGGTGCATGACTTCTTCCTCCTCACATGCCAAGCTCTGCCAAGCGCAGAGCTCATTGCCTGCGGTGTAGACAGGACAGAATTATGGTCTGGGAGAAGCCCATAATTCAGCGTTGCCGTGATTCATTTTGAGTGGTTGTAGCTTTGAGGATCCTGGGAACTGGATGCTGTCCAGATGATCTAGTTGATGTGTGGGAAGCGTCCCGTCAAGGCCAGTGGAGGTGACTATTGACAGTGCTCCAGAACTCTCAGGATCGAGCTTACGTGACTGTTTCCTTACTTTTATGCCCCTCATCTCTATGGGTTTCTGTAACTTACAGAGAATCGTGTGGTATATGCCGTGAGACGAGACCTTTCTCGCAAGGTCTGGACACCTTCTTTCTGACCCAGATTCCTCTGGACTTAAAACTCATTACACTCTGGTGTCGCAGACACACCATGTCTGATGAATCCACACGTTGAGTCAAGGGATGATTTTTCCACGATAGCCTCTTACTGGCTTTTAGTGAGGAGTTGTAGGGTATTTGATTCTACTCCTCTCACACATACTTATCTAATTGGAAAGCAGTAAAATAATGAGCCATAAAATTAATTTTCCCAAATGTGCTCTTATCTTTTAGGAGTGTGTATACATGTGTAAGTCTGTCAAGCAAGGTATACATTCTGTACGCTTATTAGAAGGGAGTTGAGAGAAGAAAAGTAAGAATTAATCCATGTGAGAAGGAAAATAGTGGGGAAGTGAACAGATTGGACAAATCTACTGAGGACTTTCATGACCTTTATTTAATTAAGATTTTTTTTTAATTTTTTTTAACGTTTTATTTATTTTTGAGACAGAGAGAGAGAGAGCATGAACGGGGGAGGGGCAGAGAGAGAGGGAGACACAGAATCGGAAGCAGGCTCCAGGCTCTGAGCCATCCGCCCAGAGCCCGAAGCGGGGCTCGAACTCACGGACCGCAAGATCGTGACCTGAGCCGAAGTCGGACGCCCAACCGACTGAGCCACCCAGGCGCCCCAAGATTTTTTTTTTAATCAAGAAAAACTGGATGTTTTCCAATGTAATACACATTCATTCTTTCTTTCTTAAAACCCTTATCCATACCAGTGGCTCCTTGCTGTGAACCATTCCAATAGTTCAAAGAGGCAAACAGATTATCCTTTGCCACTGTGCATTCTGTTCTGGACACTTTACTAGGGCTGATGGGGGGCCTCAACAGTCAGTCATTCCTTAATGCAAATCCAGTCTATTCTGGCATTAGCATAAAAGGTTCCTGTGAGCTATCCCACATGCCTGTGCCCTAAATTGTTTGACCCAATCCCCACTTAGGAAATGTGACTGGCACTCATCCACTGCCAGGGTGGTCTCCCTCAGTGAAAGTCGGGGACACAACCCCGAATGACCCCTCTCCCTTACCTCTAACATCTACACAAAACCAAACGTGTCTACTTGCCTTCCAAATATTCGTTTTAAACACCCATGCTTTACGACCACCTAGGAAGGTAAAGTCAAATACAAAGTGTTCTAGAGGAAGACAGCATGTGTCTCTGATGTCGTTACATGATGGGATTCTTTTATCACAACTAATTCAAGACTAAAGTCCCCTCAACCTCAAAGGCTGCAAAATGTGACAAGATTTCCACATCTTGTCTTGTATTACATTCAGGTAGGAGGGATGTCCAAATACTTGCATGATAGTTCACAGATGACGCCGTGGCTAAAATTGTGTACACCCCTTCAACCTTGGGAAGTGCATTCTGAGGGAGGGGGAGAAAGGAAAATAATGGAACTTGGAAATGCAAATAAAGATGTATTTAATTTTAATAAACAAGGGAAGGACTCCCAAAGTGATCCATGTAGAATGAGCTGACCACAGATGGAATCTCGTGTCTTTCGTGTTGATGGTAATGATACAACCTAAAGAAACAAGGCTGCTTCGCAGGGTTAAACATTCAACTTTCAGTAAACTGTATATGTTTTTCAAGTATTGCACGTGTTTGAAGATTTGAATGTCATGTTAAAATTGCTAACGTGCAAACAGAATTAAGTAACTGGGGATTCACGCTGTGACTTCTGTTTAGGTGTATGATGGAAAAGACAGTTCATCGCGTCCGTTGGGGTCCTTCACTAAGAATGAGCTCATGGGGCTGGTCCTCAACAGCACTTCCAATCACCTGTGGCTGGAATTCAACACCAACGGCTCTGAAACCGACCAGGGTTTCCAGCTCACCTATACGAGTAAGTAGCATATGACGTCATCATTTCAGGTTTGTTTGTTTTTTTAAATCTCGGGGTTCATCTAATACCTAGCCGATGATTTTTTTTTTTTTTTTGCTTAGCTAATACATTTTAAATACTCATTTTTTTCTCTGGTCTCCCTACTGTGTTCTGAATTAATATTTAATTCTTAATTTAGACACATTGCCAGAAGTGATAGTTTGAAATTTATTTTCTTAGATGCATTAATATTTTCATAAGAAAATGACTGTACCTGAAAAGAAACACTCATGACTTTTAAGAGCCTCTGAGCTTAATAAATTCTGATTATAATATAGTATGCATTGACAAAGATTCATATTTGTGCATATGAATAATTTAGAATGAATGTTTGGTGTAATTAATAGCACTAACTTTGAATGTCTACCCTACATCAGTACTTTACTATTATATCTACATATATAAATATTAGAATCTATATATTACAGAATGTCAGTTACATGTGTATAATTTAGTCACATATACTACATATAAATGTCATGAAATAAAACAAACCCACGTACTAAGCTCTTTCTTAGCACCACTAATGTCCTAATAAGAAAACTAAACACAAAGAATTTCAGGATTTGCTGTGAAGATACCAGGTGTATGGGCTGGTGGAGTCAGGCTGTGATCATGGACCTACAGTTTTACACAGAGTCCTGTAGTGCCCCCTGATTAATGTCAATCAAAGTACAAAAAATATTTTTTTAATGGTTATTTATTTTTGAGAGAGAGAGAGAGAGAGAGAGAGAGAGAGAGACAGAATCTGAAGCAGGTTCCAGGCTCCGAGCTGTCAACACAGAGCCCGACATGGGGCTCGAACTCACACACTGTGAGATCATGACCTAAGCTGAAGTCGGACGCTCAACTGACTGAGGCACGCAGGGGCCCCCAAAAAATATTTTTAAAGATGAAAATGAAGAAGAGAAAGAAGTATATAAAATAAAGAAGGAAAAGAGACTGTGCTTTCTAAAAGAGTTATTTGCAGTATGATCACTGTTATTTCCACCACTTATACTTCCAAACAAGTAAGGTAAAACATGAGCTACTTTGGTGTGGATAAATAGTGAAAATTAAGTAATCAATGAAATGTACCAGATAGTCCAATCTTTCACTCATCTGCTGATTAAAAATCTTTATTACACCAAAAGCCATGCCAAAAAATATAAAATTTTGGATTTTTTAGCGTGAAAGTGTATTAGTGATCATCAAGATTGATTTCTTTATTTGACAGATAAGCAAATGAAGGCCTGGAAATGATAATAATTATCCCAGACACAGAACTAATCCAGGTGCCTCAAAGGAAGATTAATTGCCTAAAATCCCCCTTGGTGGGCAAAATTACAGGGAAAGGCCTGCAAGACTTGGTGAGCAAAAACAGAAGTAGAGTAGCTGACACTAGAAAACCAATTTTTCGTTATCACGAAAATAACCATTTATGAGATTTAGTAAACAGCAAGTATATTGATTATATTGCATGCACAATAAATTAGTAGCAGGGGCATTATAAAACCAATTCATAATTATAGTTTTTTGTTACTAGAGTTTGACTCTTCAGAATGGCCCTCTGAAGCAGGATTCAAAGGCTTCTTGTAAAGCCCTTTGGCTTTGCTTCAGACTAAGATGGACACCCTTGCAACCTCTTTCTTTCTTCCACTTTGGGTTTTCCATCAGTATGTTCATAGATTTTGTTTTATTCCCACTTGCATTCACCCCCACTTCCTAGCTGTTACACGTGTCATATTAGTCTTAGAGGACGTTGGATACTTGAGAAAGAAAACGGTTGGAAAACTCCCTAGGTAAACCTGAGGGTTTATTGTAAATAAAGGGTATCTCCATGCACACCTGGCGTGTTCCTCCAGTCCAGTCGTCGCCTCAGCTCGTCTGACAAACGGTGCGTCCCACTACGGTTTGTCAGCAAGGGCAAGAAGGCATTGGGCTGTGTGTTTCCCTGTCTCCCCTGTGCATTTCCGTGTCCTCGATCCTCAGTACCACTCCAAGTGTGGAGGTGACTAAGCTCACGTGCACCCTTCCCTGTCTGCTTCATAGAGAATGCATCTGGTTCTATTTCACATCGCGCTGCTTTCCCAACCCAAGTTTCTGCTACCTGTTTTCTCTCTACGTGGCCTGGAGTGATTCTTGGTTTGTGAACATGTGTTCCTACATTCTCATGGTCGTGCAAAAGATATCCAGCAGCAAGTGCCTGCCTTTTGGAACTTCAAGCTAACTGGACCTGTCACCACCCTTGACTGTTTCCAGAATTCTGACTCCCGCTTACTTCCCAAATTGCAGTTAAGAAGGGCCATCATGTCCTAAAATCACGTGACTGGGCTGAGATTAGAAGTTGTGGGCTTCATTTGTGTATAATGTCCACCTTGTCACATCAAGAAGGGTCGCTTCATTGTGCTATCGTCAGCCTCCGTTAGATGCCGCGTGGATGGTGTAACCCCACGTTTCTCCATGGTATCCAGCATAGCTTGAGGACCTTTTGCTGCACACCGCACCCCCCCCCACCTCGCCCAGCTGTTTCTCTGGGTAACTCTGAGAAACTTGTATCTGTGGATCTGTTTATGGGCACTCTAATCACACAGATTTTTTTTTTCATTACATAACAGCACAAACTTTCTGAGTTTCTGAGAAGAAACATTTCAATGATTGGTATTTAGCTCTTAGTATAACCTAGTTGATGGGAATAATTATCTTTTCTGCCTGTTTTCCCTCTTTGCCTTCACCTACAAAAACACAGATGCTCCCTGGGTGCAATTTCACTTGTGAGGTTGTCCTAGAGCTAGAACACATGGCCAGATGGGAAAACGCATCTGTAATATAGAATTGATGGTGCTGATGGCTATATAATCAAAATAATATTAGCTTCACATTAAAGTTTTAGCTTTAAACACCAAGTAATTAATTTAAAAAAATCCCAAGCTCCCACAATGTGATCGAATACCGGAATCAAATACTCATCCCTAAAAGATGGCTTGGAAATGATGAATGTTATAAAATGTTTTGAGCAAGTCATTAAAGCTTAAGACTAAGTAAAGACACTTTCAACTAACTTCAAAAGACTTTTGTAATTGCCTCTTGATAGTTAATTGCATCACTTAAGGAAACATTCATATTTAAATGTTTCAGTTCCATAATTAATCTGCACACACCAGTGGATCAGAAATGTCAACAGAAAGTAAATATATAGCTTATTAAACACCCTAACGTTTTTGAAGTGGATACAAATAATATTTGAATCTCCTTTAATATCTACAGCATATTCTCGCACACCTGATTTTGCCATCTTGGTAATTTTGTGTCCTGCTAAAGAGCTCCTTTTATTCGCAAATTAGAAACTGAGTCTCCACATCCTTGAGTGGCTTGCTGAAGCTTTCACATCCGGAAGTGGTCCAGCCAGGACCCCAATTCAGGTCTCTTAACTGAAGCCCAGAACCAAGGATGAGCTGAATTTCACAGCCTTTAGATGGTCCCGCCTTGTTGACTAACACACGTATTGTCTGATACTTATACATGTAAAGGCATTGGTGAGGAAGAGAAGTCGGGTATCTTGGGGACAACGTGGGGTAAACGCATTATATTAAGCAGCCGCTGGTTTGTTAGTAGGTTAGGGCAATATGCAACTGAAATAAAGTTACCTCTATTATAAAACACTCCTTTTTATTAGAGATTTGTTTATTTTCTTTTTTTAAAGTTTATTTCTTTGTTTTGAGAGGGAGAGAGAGTAGGGGGGAGGAAGAAAAAGGGGGGAAGAGAGAGAGAATCTGAAACAGGCTCCATGTTCAGCCCAGAGCCCAACTCGGGGCTCCATCCCAGGAACCATGAGATCATGACTGGAGCCGAGATCAAGAGTTGGTTGCTTAACCTACTGAGCCACACAGGCGCCCCTACAGATTTGTTTCTTTTCATAACAAATCATAGTCTTCCAATTCTATAAGTGTGTCAAATGGAAACATGACCCATAAGGTCTTTGAGATCAGGGACCATGGGTGTTCATTTTTTATTATCTTCAGCACCTTGGACAGATGCCTGGTCTGTAAGACAAAAAGCTTAGATTATATATCATTGTTATTTAAGCTGTATTCCAGGAAGCTCTAAGATTCCACAGAGCCCTCTCAGGGCAATAAGAATTTCACCTTATCTAACTTAAGCATTTTTGTTTGCTTTCTCCTGGTGATTGCAAAGTTCTTCAAGTATCAGGAAAAAGTACATTGGCAGTGGATTGCTGTGTTTTCTAAATATTTCAGCAACTACTTTTATAGAAAAGTAGTTCTAAATA